CATACAAAAAGACCAAAAAAGCCCTAAAGAAACGTGCGCCCCTCTCTCTCTCTCTCTTTGAATCTAATAACCGTCTCTCTTCCCCTCTCTATTCTTATATTTTTTTTAAAAAAATTAATTTTTGAGATTTCTAACTCAAATATTAAAAGTATAATGCTTCGTGTACTAAGACCTCATTTGAAGAGTTGGCTTTGACATAAGCTATCTTGATTTAGTTAATAAAAACAAAACAGATTAATTTAATTAATAAGACAAAGTATTACATTCAAATCATAAATATTTTATTTTTTTCTCACATTCATCAAATCAACTGCAAAAAAAATCAAAATTTATTCAAAACACAATTTTTTTAGCCAAGCAAAATTAGTCAAAAATTTATGGCAAATTACTTCATTCCAAACGAGGGCTAGGGGTTGTTTGGAAAATGAAAAAATAATCAAAAAGTTATTACTAAAAGCTAACTATTCTCTTTATTTTTTGAAATTATATTTGTAAAAAGTTAAAAAATTACTTAAAATAATCAAATTTCAAACTAACCTTAAACTAATGATATTTAAAAATATTTGTTTGGGAGAGAGGGGGGAGGGGGGGTTATTGTTATTGCCACAATTATTGCTATCCAGAGAGCCTTGGATGCAAATATCCAATTTGCTGCTTCAAATTACACTGGAAACAACTGTAACGGCATGCAATAATATGTATTAATCTAAATAATAATTTTCTGCCGAGCCTAAAATACTAGTGGTTTTCAAAAAAAGTGAAGGTTTATATGCAAGGTCAATATTAGTTCTTTTCTGGGTGTTAATTAAGCTTTTCTAATCACTTGTGGAGGTTTGCTTGTGAAGATTGCCTACCAGGTCACATGTATCATATCTTGGTAATTTGTCCAGGCTGGAACCAAAACAAAGTTGTTTCAGTTACTTTTTGCAAATGCTTATGTTTTGGCAGATTTAAGTTGATCTTCTCAAATGTCTTCTTAAAATGCATTTTTTCTTTGTTCCTTTTTCTGTATCTGTTTACCAAACATGATTTTGGAATTTGGATTAAATTTGTGTTGGCAATTTCTGGGTTGCCCAACAAACCCATCCACAAACCCATCCGACATATATATGGGCATGTATAAAGTTGATTGTGGGTACAAAGGATGGACCTATGAAAAACCCTACTTCATATCCCTATGAGATAATGCCTTGTTTCTTTGGTGATGATTAATTTGTGGATCATATCAAGAGATATCACCTAACATCTATGCCATTCAAGGCATTCTTAGGTTCTTATCTGCTGCTTACTTTGACTACTTTTTTTATGAATGCAGCTGCATCAGCCAGTGACAGCTGAAGATTTAGAATCTGCTTCTACACAAGAAAATTAATAGACTGACTTGAAATTGAGGGGAGCTTCTTGTTATGTCTGCCAGAATTGCAATTCGTCTCTTACTTTGGCACATAATAAATTGAAGTCCAGAAAATCTGTCTGTGTGTCCGTCTGCGTGCGCCGACACAACCACATGCATTGAGAAGACATTTGCTGATGTTTTTGAACTCCATGCACTGGCTGTGAGGTTAGATGGTCCAAACTCTGCATCATATTTTCCAGTGTCTCAATCTGTCAGGCGAGACCCATTCTTGCTGGTTTTTTTTTTTTTCCTCTTAAAACCCTGATTATGAACTCCTAACAAAGATTTTGTGGGTACCTTTGTTAAATGTAAGCTTGTATTAAGATTTTATTTGGAAATGTAACCATCCTTGCCTCATTTTTGTCATCCACTAAAAACCCATATTTTTCGTTGTGTTGATATGTGAGGCATGACCACTCTTGCTTTTATTTATTTATTTTTAATTGTTAACAAAGATTTATTACTGTAGTACCTTTGCTAAATGTAGGCCTGTACTAAGATCTTATTTAGAAATGTAGCCAGCCCTGCCTCACTTTTGTCAACCACTAGAAACCCACATTAATAATGGGAAGCAAGTAAATCATTCTTCTATTAATATCTGAAAGCACAACTTTGAGTGGGAGAAAGTTGTGGCTGAAATCACTCTAGATAAACAATTGAAAAGGGAAACTCTATTCATGCAACAAAATTATACAAAAATAAAAGATAAAAAATCACAAGAATGATGCATTAATGTCAGCTTTGTAAATAAAAAGTCTCTTAATGGATATATTTTGTTTTTGAGGAAAAAATCTACAATGAATCACATAATTATATAGAAAAATTGCTTTATGAATTTTTGTTTGTATATTATTATTCAATTGAAAATCCTCAAATCATGGTATTGTATTTCATCCATAACGCAAGACAGAGAGTGAACACTTCGTTGCCCATGTGTCCCTTTACCATTTGAGAAACATGCCTTGCTTATTATGAGAGCAGCATATTTAGACAAAAAATTAGCAAAAAGTAATATATTTTAAAAAAGAAAAACAATTTTTTTTTGCAAAATTTTTGCTAAAGATTTAGCTAGTTTGATGGGGATCCTCTCATAAAATCAAAATCATCCAAATTTGTGTAGAAGACTTGAATCACAAATAGAGAGAAAACCAATACAAGGACAAATAAACATTTGCAACAGTAACCAACTACCATAATGTGGTCCTAAAGAAACCACATTGAGTCCTAACTCAAATTTTGACATGGAAAAACAACAGTCACATGTTTGGTTGCACATCATAGAATTTGTCCACAAAATAATACCTGGCTATATGTAATGGATAGCTTGACAAAATAATGATCGTTTATCAATACAAGAAATCAAAGAAGCCACATTTTCCTCAGTTTTTTCTTCTTTTGCTCAAAAAACAAACGAAAGGGTGGGGTACAACAAAATAAATGCAGAGATATAAAAAGACGGCACTGTCAACAATCTGTGTGATAGTTTTCTGGCTTAAACCACAATGAAAAATCAATGCCTTTGTTCTTCAGTTTATCCGTTGGAGGGCCAATTCTCTGCAGAAGCTGCAAAAGACACAAACAATACAAAGTGGTTTGGAGAGAGGATGATAGGAAAGTAGTATATTCTCATACTCTATTTTCTTAGCTTTCTAACTGCATTCAGGTAACACATTCAATCCAATCAAATATGTTCAAATCCTCGCAGACTAATATAAGCGTTTGACAATTTATAAGTAGTCAAGTGGTTAAGGAGTTACAATCATCCATTAGACATGGTCTACTGGACAGGATCGCTGGTCCTACGATCTCTCAAATATAGATTTCAAGAGCAGTTATCATCAAATACACATAAGGCTCCAAAATGAGTGGATACTAGGATGTGTAATAATGTAAAGCTCCCAATATTACAAGCCTTGGACCTAACCTTGTCATGGAACATCAAGTTCTCTAAGAAATAAAGGGAAAAGACTAACCTTGTCATGCAGCACACCATTGGATACCAAGACTGATCTATCAAATACACTATATTTTCCACCATCCATGCAAGAAACTACCCCACCAGCTTCTTCAACTATCTGCTTGAAATGTAAATAAAATAGATGCAATAAATGGTTGGAAGTAAAAAACTTGAATTCTAATCATTTTCATGAGAGCCAAGTGCCAAAACACACACCAATTCTTTGAAATGTAAGGTTTCTTAAGCACTTGCTTCATCCGGATACAGGTTTTAAGAAAATACAAATGGCAATTGGTCAACCAACTTAGGTTAGTAGATTTTCAATCTATTCTTGAAAAACATTGTCATCTAAAACAGTTACCATAGTATTCCTAATTCAAGTGTAAAAATTGCGACTCAGTGCACCCATAAGGAATCCGAGTAAAATTAGAAAGGTCGTAAAACATAGAAAATGAAAAATGGTACGGGCGAATTTGAAGTGTGATGACCAGTGTGTATTTGGCTTTGCTCTTTTGAGGTCATGTTGGAATTCTCGTTGTTAAATGTCGGGTTTTAAAAGCGTGTTTCTGTCAACGGTTGGATTCGTTACTTCCGAGGACTTCTCCTCAAAATTTTCGCTCTTGTTTGTTTCAATTATGAGTTTTTATTCGTTGCGGAGGGTGTGGGGTTGGTTTCGGAGTGTTGGGGGAGAAGCCGGGGATTTTTTCCCGGCTGGGGGCCAGGGCCGCACATGCGGGAAGCTGGGGGCTTGTGCTGTGAACACACTGCTAAAAAGGCAGGTGCGTGAGTTGAGGTGCGAGGCAAGCCGCACGTGCGGGGGTGGGAGTCGCACGTACGGGAGTGGGCGCAGCACGTGCGGCCAGGCACGTTTTCTGCTCCGTTTTTCGTGCTTTTCAGCTATATTTTGCACTTTTTGGCCCTTTTTCCTCCATATCTGATTGTATCACTGTCCCTTTTCATTATTTCTCTCTTTTTCTCTCATCTCTCTCTACCCAAATCCACAAAACATTTCATCTTCTTTGATCTCAAGAAATCCATTGGGTTTTTAATGCTAATCCCTTATACCAAAATGATGAGCGTGTCGAGGGTTTCGTCTTGACCGATAGAGATCGTATTTCGGTGAGGTCGATTTTTGGGCTCTTTCTCCTCTTCTCTCTTGAGGTAGAGATTTCTTTGATTTTCTTCAATGCTTCACCTATAGATAGACATGTGGTATGTTCATATTGCATAAAAACTTTGTTGTTTTGGATTTCTTTTGAAAATCATGAATGGGGGTTCAAGACGGGTTGTGTGAGGTTGTAAATTGGGAGTTTGTTGTTGTTGGTTAAATTTTGAGTAGTAGTTTAGCTTGTTTATGTAAAGAGGGAAGTGAAGCCTTAATTTTTAATTAACTTGCACATTTGTCAAAAAGGGTTTTTATTGTGGGTTAAGCATGTTATGAAATTAGAAATTTAAGTAATGAAATTATCATGTTATGAATTAAGGATTTGATTATTGACTTGGCAATAACTTGTGATTAAACCGGGTTCTCATAAATTTTAGTATTTAACTTGTGTTGAGTTGATTTTAGTTAAATCTAACTGTTAAAATCCACCTACTTCACCCACTTAAACTATTGTGGGTTAAGCATGTTATGAAATTAGAAATTTAAGTAATGAAATTATCATGTTATGAATTAAGGATTTGATTATTGACTTGGCAATAACTTGTGATTAAACTGGGTTCTCATAAATTTTAGTATTTAACTTGTGTTGAGTTGATTTTAGTTAAATCTAACAAAGTGACAAGTTGTTAATTGTTAAAAAGGAATTTAATCATGAGATTTGAAGGTTGTGGTGTTAAATTACCGTTATATAGAAATTGAGTAAATATTAACCTTGTTAGTTAGGATTGAAATCATTTATCTAAAATGAAAGAATGTGAGTTGGTCATACTCCCTTGTGAAAAGAAACTAAATGAATTGAGGCAAAGGGTGGAGAAGATTAATGTAGAAGGAAGAGACAATTGATTTTGCAAATGGAAGGATGAAATGCTAACATTGTGGGAGTTTCGGAAATTGACTTGGGGTTGAATCACGAATATTTAAATTCAACATTGTTATAATTGGATCTAAAGTCCCGTGTGAATTATTGTTGTTAATGTGTAAGTTGAGTACATGTTGCTTAGAGGTTTTGTCCTTGGTCATCGGTGGAGGATGACATTATTGTGTTGATTACTTGTGTGTATGTGTTACACTTGTTGGATGTACTTTATCATGTTGTGATGGTTAATATGTGTGTGTGTGCTGCGCTAATAATGAAAGATACCATTCCCTTCCAGCTAGCACCTGATAAATTGGTTGCGAATCAGAGGTACTATTCCCTTCCAGCTAGCGCCTGGTAAATTAGCTGTGCGTGTTGCGCTGATAATCAGAAGTACCACTCCCTTCCAGTTAGCGCCTGGTAAATTGGCAGAGGAACCATTCTCTTCCAGCTTGTGTCTGGTAAATTGACAGTGCATTTGTGGAGAGATGTGTCATTGGCTTATCATGTTTCGGGCATGTAGAGCAGGGATTATTTATCATTGTTGTCTCAATTGACTATGTGTCATGTGTTATGGTAATTATGAATTAGTAAGATTGAATTGTCTCATGTGTTGAGTAGATGTTTTTATGTATGTTTGGCCGTGTTGAGAGTGATTGAGGGAATTGCCTACCAATAATGAGTTATTGATAATATCTCTTTAACTTGAACTTAAGATTGAAAATGTGATGAACATGTGGAGTCAGACTTGGGTTATACAATGGGTTATAAATGATGAGAGGGAAATCGGAATTGGTAATCGTGCTTTCAAGAAAAAGTAATAAACGGATATTATGCGTTATTTTGTCACAAATGGCAAAAAAAATCAAGTAATGTGTAAGAATTGTTCATATGGGAAATGGGTAGTAAAAGTGGAACTTGGTGTTGTTAAATAACTGAATGATTTTGAAAAAAGTACGTATGTATGTGTACTTTGGTTATAAAATGTCACATTATTTATATGGTATGAGATTAGCATTCATGATCATAGCTATTTGTAAGTCGTTATTGTTGAGGATCATGTTGAGATTCTTACTAGACTTTATGTTCATCCCACGTTGTTGAATCTTTTTCAGGTGATTATTAGGATGTGCTATAAGATTTCGGATCTTCCTTATTTGTTGGCCACGGGGCCTCCTTATGTGTAGGCGGAATGCCATTGATGTAAAGGGTTAAACCCTTACTCTTGAGTTAAATGATGTAAGCCCACGGACAATTTATTTAATAGTGCCTACATGTTGCATTCATTTTTATTCGAATGAGAGAATTATTACTGATGTATCCCTTGAAAATATCAAGAGCTTTTGTATGCTATCTCTGAAATCGAATCTTTAATAATGGTCTTGGTAATGGAATTCGAGTAATAAAAAGTGGGGTGTGACATGAAGTCTTGGGGTAATAACCTTAAGGTTATGGATTCAAGTCTTGGCCCGTCACTTTGTGCATTTTGCCAAAGGTTAGGTGTGCTCACACTTTCCCCTCCCAAACACACATTAATGTGTATTAATTGGGCATTGTTTTATATATAGTTCTTTCATTGATATCTAGAAGATAAAATAAGAAATATTTCTTAAAATGATTGATGTTACCAAAACACCAGCAGCCATATCCCATGGTTTTAGACCATATTCCCAATATGCTTCTACAATTCCCAAAGCTACATGGCACATATCCACTGCAGCAGCACCAAGCCTTCTCACGCCCTACACATAAATGTCAAAATGGAGAGAGAGATTACAAAATCTTAAAACACAAAATCTTCCACCCCTATCTATGATGTAAGAAGTAAAGCAAGTTATCAGTAAAGCAAGTGAAAGAAAATGGTTATTACCCGGCTGACATCAGTAAATTCTTTGAATAACTCTATGTTGGTACTCCATGCATCGTCATGTTCATACCCAAATCCAGTAACTAGAAGTGACTGCTCCACCTAAGAAAACAAGTGAAAAAAGGTGAGCTGAATTTTTTTTTTTTCCAGCTTTCAGCTCTAAACCACCACACTTTTACACAATTTTTTTCAATGTGATCCGTTTCCAGAAGTAGAACAAACGTGATTAATTTTATAGATAGATAAGAAGTGAAATATACACAAGCATTTGAACTGTCCTGTAATAAAATCTGTTGTCAATACCTTCTTCTCAGTTCCTTTTCCTTGCATAAACTGAGCCTGGGAAAGGAACTGATAAGAGGGACTTACGAAGAATGTGCTCAGAAATCCATAATGGAGTCTGATCACAAGGTCTGAAAGTATGTAAAGTTCATGGAAAAATTCCTTGAGTCTAGACGCCATAAAACAGAGAGTGTTGTTGGGCACATCCTCAACCAGTCTCTCTTCCACATCCACCACCAACAAAAAAAGTCTTACTGAAGGTCACCTATTGAATAAAACATTATAGTCTAGATATAACATGATCACTCACCTTATCAGTATGACTCACTTGAATCTTTTGCCCATTACAAAAAGCACCGCCACCTAGAATAAAGAGTAACAAATATTAAGTCAGAACTTTATATTTCAATTTTGGTATGTAAAATAGCTTGTTATATAATTGCTTAAGATAAATCCTTCTTACCAGCAGCTGCAGAAAATGTGCGTGTATTCCAACACATGGGGCCTCCAACAAATTCTACCTTCAACACAAACCAATTGTCATCCCTTCAAGTCAGAAACAGAGAAACTCATTCACTCTTGATCTTTGAAGAAATAATTGGACAAGAACTACTCCAAATATTAGTTGAGTTGAGTTCAATACCAAAAAAATAGAAAATGAAAAGGTTTATGCAACTATGTTTATATTCTGATTAACACATCAACCAGGGAAACCATCATTTAGTATAACAATTTCAATGACCATATTAATTTACATATCAAATTTCAATCCAATGGACCGTTACAGAATTATGCAAATTCTTTTTAGAGACTATAAAGGTAAGTGATTATATACCACAGCACCAGCAGCCGGCTTTCCTTTATACAGAACTCCCACAGAGACTGCAAAGCTAGGGTAGCAATGTGCAAAATTTGTTGTCCCATCTATATATATATCAAAGGCAAATGGCTTTACGTCAGAAAACTAGCTGCAAATATAAGAAGTAAATGCAGGCAGAAGATAACATGTTTCAATATGAAGGAATTATCAACAATCATAATGAGGTAACAGTGAAGTGTCACACTTTGAATTGAGAAAAGTTGTCATTATCAAAAAAGAAATGGGAAATAGAAACTAGAAATGTCGTTCATAATGTCATAGGAAATTAGAAATGCTAGGTGATAGAGATAAGATCGAACAGAATATGTAAAAGACAAATTATTAGGAACTTTTAAAATTAGGGTGTGGAAGAAATGATTGGATTGGGATTGGGAGGAGGAAAGGGTGTGGAAGAAGAAAAAAAAGATTTTCTTACCTATAAATCAATCAGAAACCTTATATATTGCTCTTCAGAAGCAGCTCATTTCCCATTTTTTTTAGTCATTAAAATTTCCTCTCCAGAATTTTTATTCATATACAAAGATTACAGTCTTGGGCCACCACTTTACGCTTTATGCCAAAGGTTAGGTGTGTACTGAATCTTTCCCCTCCCAAACACACATTAATGTGTACTTCTTGGGCGTTGTTTTTTTTTTTTTACAAAGATTACAGAATTCAATCTAAAAACTGCAACTGAAGTGCATTCCTACACTCCAAAAAGGAGAACAAGAAACAAAAAGTTACTGCCAATAAGTTAGTCTAGTGGCTTAGAATTTTGAGAAGCCTAGTAAGTTTCAAAAGGAACAGAAAAATAGGTTATGCAAGTCATCTAATTTGACCACACAAATTCTGATATATAATTGAAAATGAATCAATAAGTTCTAGCAAACAATATTAAAATCATGTCAAGTTGTAAAAGTTTTACGATAGTAACATTGCTAAACAAATCACAACTAGTTTAGACAAGTATAAGTCCAGAATCAAGAGTTGAGTTCCATCCGAGGAACTTGGTGAATATGTACACATAATCTTAATTACCAAAGGGTTAAGAGAGTCTAACCTAAGGGATCTATGCACCAAAGATAATCAGAAGATGAATTGCCAATAAGCCCTCCCTCTTCCCCAAGAATAAGGTGATCTTTGAAGTTCTTCGTTACAACTTCTAGAATAGCAACCTCACTCATTTTATCTGTGCTGCAAGTAAATCCAAGTTAATAGCATCAAAGAAGATGAAAACACATAAGAAAACCAAAAAAATAATGGGAGCAAGAAATAAACGAATGAAAAAAAAAATGATAGATGATTTAAAAATTAATGCCAATCCTAAAAATAAATTTTCTTGTGTATGCTATAAAATCTTCAAGATCAAAAGAGGATTCACAAAAATTGCCTTTGCACCAAAAAATGAAAAGTATACAATAGACATTTTCAATTTGTGCACCACCATCTTTATCTGTAGACAAATGCGCCAAAAGAAAAGGAATCAATTAATTATTTGTCAAAGCTTCATTTATTCAACGACCAGTTTCCTTTGCCTCTAGAAATCCCATATCAAACACAAAGGTACCACCACCCATAATTTTTCTTCCTTTTTGATCAACATCCACCCTCGCAATGCCCATACAACTAAAAAGCCAACATAACTCAAATACCTCATGAACTCCAAAAATGGTCAAAATCAAATACCTTAATTCCAGCTACCTCACAATGTAGTAACAAATAATTTACTTCTCTGCCTTTTAGCACGTGCAACACCAGTTAGGAAACCCAAAACTCTTTTAACCAGATTTTCGATGGTAAGAATAGAATTTAAAGCAGCTGTCCAGATTAATAAAAAAAAAAATTAAAAAAAGCCACCTTAGTTGGCCTCCCTGCCTTCCATACACTTCCAAGGAAAGGAATTCCCTTCCTTTTTTCGATTGCAAAAAGTGATTCCCTTCCTCACCATAGAGAAGGGAATCACAAGACTGCAGTCTGGTCATCTAGTGGACCAAACTACCTAGGATTGTTGACCAAGCTAAAAAAACCTTTTTCCAGTCTTCTTGGTCCCCGCCTTGTCAAAAGTCATCTCATGCTGGTGAAACTTCTCCTTGTACTTCTCCCATAAATCTTCAACCTCTACAAAGCTTCTAGAGTTGCCAATGTGTTTCCTCTTGGCAGTGGCTTAGGTTCCTACCTAAGGAGGTTATACATACAAGTCATGAAATAGTCAACCTATGCTATCCCTAGCATTTACACCATGAACATGAAAACTTAGAAAAACAGGTCTTACTCTGTCACCAAATCAGTGAGTCCTTTATAGACAATATTTTGAGGCTTCTTCACAGCGTCCATCACAACCTGAAAAGAAAAGCAGTAAATGCAAAGAAATCAAAGAAATACAACTCAAAATTGAAAGAATAAAGGTCACTTTGATGGGAAATGGGAGATTAAAAACACATTTATATGTTTCCTTTTCATATGTCCCGTGTACTCAAGCTCACTGTACTGATTTAAACTAGCTACTGCTTATATTCAGTAATTTTAATCTTAAAGTATCTCTTTGTAAATCTAACCCAATATTCACCCCAATTCTGCCTTCTTGACTCACAAATCACAATGCCAATTCTTGGTGTGAGATTATTTCCTCCCTTTCAAAGTTTGTTTCCCCATCCGGGCAAAACAGTATGCCAGAATCAATAGTTAAGTTCAATAAATGCAAGTTAAAAAATACGTAATAAACACAGAGATTGTGTTAATCTGCACGTTGGAGGTAGTTATGAATAGATACAAAAATTAGGTCCTTCTGATTAGATATGAACACAAAACAAAAATGGGTTCTTCCTATTTGAACACAGGAATACAAGCATATAGTAGGTAACACACACAAACACATTGACCATACATAAAACTAAGCAAAACAAACTAAGCTACTTGAGCTCATTTGAAATCAGCTCCTTTTATAAACAAGTTTAATACTTATATTTAATTTTCAAGCTAAACTTGAATAAATTACTACTCATTCCCTAAGAATTTAAGCACCACACCGCCCCCCCGCCCCCCAACAAAAAAAAAAACCATTCAACTAAACACAAAACACAACATAAAATGTAAACAAAGTAAGTTGGGCATACCTCAGCACCAGTTTTAGCAGCAGTTTCAACCACACCGAGGAGCTGATTGGATGATATGGGGCCAGTTGATTCAGAAGCAACTTTTGAGTACTTTTTCTGATTGGGAATTTCAGATAACACAGCTTTGGTGCACAATGTTCTTGTGGGCATAGAATTGAACGACAGAGTCTTGCAAAACCCATCTCGGAAACCTCTTCGCAGATGAGGAATTGCAAAAGAACTCGATGGGAGGGTGAGTTTTGGGCGATTAAATAGTGAAATTGATCTGGATATTTGAGAAAATCGCAGGGGAGTGGGTGTGGACGAGACTAAACACCTTCCCATTTCGATTGTAGAGAGAGATTATTGATCAATCTATGGGGTCTGTTTGTTTGTGAGTTATTTTTTTTTCAACAAAGACTACTAATTTTGGAACTCTAAAAAGACCACTAATGACATGACACTTAATAAAAAAAGAAAAAAAATATAACACTAAATCATTTCTGATGGGCTCCACTGCCATATCATTAGTGATAACACTAATTAGTGCTCTCACTCATTTTTATTTTTATTTTTTTTTTTATTTTTTTTTTTAAGGGAGGAATATATTTTACTGTATGAAGACAAGATTCGAATCATCAAAATATCGCAAGGCTACCAATTCAACTAGTATTTAAGTCGGTGTGGACAATGGTCTATTGGGAAATTTCACACTTTTATTTTTGCGTAAATAATTTCTCAATGCATATTTTTACGAAATTGATTTTATGTTTTTGTTCTCCGTTCATATTTTACATATTTTAATTATATCCTAAATTAATATCTTTATACACACTACTTAAATCATTTGTTCTACATAGAATCAATGATATAGACTCATTTTTTATTTCACCCACCTTGAAAACATCTTTCACAAGAAATTTCTCAGCAAATCATTCCATGAATCTTCAGATTATACAACAAATTACCTCATTTGATTTTCAGTTACATTATCAAATTGATTCCTTCAATCAACAAATCTAGTCAACATCGAAAAAATCATTAATTGGTATCGACTTGCATCAATATAGATCTTGAAACAATATCGTTTTGTATCAAACTCCATTGAAGACATACAATTTCATCTATCTCTTTTTTTTTTATTTATTTATAAACTCTTGTTTTTTTTTTGAAGCAATTCGATTTTGCTTGTTTGGTACTGGTTATCCGAATGAAAAAAGGTTTATTTGATTTTTAACTTTCGAAACATGTAAAAAAATTCAGAATTTGGTTTTCGAAATAAATTCTTAAATTCGGAAGTTAAGTTCCGAATCCAAATTCATAACTTGATTTTTTAATAGAATTTGACATGGACAGGCCCACGAGGCATACAGCCCACAGCAAACCGCCCCGAACCCATCGCCTCGGACACATAGCATAACTTGATTGGCAAAGCCCAGGACAGCTGGAGTCCACCTGGACGTGGAGGGCCAAGGGCATTCGGACACATGGCAGATGAGACACAGGCCACATCAGCAGACAAAGATCTGCAGAGTTATTGCCACAACACATCACCATTAATGCAGCCCATCACAGCATTTATTACGACAACACCTCCCCGTCGGAACAGAGCCCCCTCACCCTGAACAAGGCAAGCTACGACACAGGCTTTCGGCGGAAATGGGGCACGTCACAAAGGACAGTGAAATGATTACCAAAGGATATAAGCAACAAGAGAAGCACAAGAATAAGGTTAAGCTTTCTATCTCGCCATCTTCTCCCCTACATTTTCCTGTTTTTCCCTCGACTAATTCTCTCGCCGGAGGGTTCACTGGGGGACTACCCGTTCCCCTTTGGACTTGCTTGCAGGTCATTTGACGGAATCATCACCCCGAACCGGAGCCTGAAGAGCCTGGACCAGTCCGACCCATTCACCCGGGAAGAAAAACGTTATCAGAATTAATAATTTCGACAGTTGATATCCGAAAAAAGTAACATGTTTCAGCACTGATTTACCGAATTAAAATCCTGAAAAAAAAAAATTATGCACAAAAAACTTACATTTTCGGTTATCCGAATGAAAAAAGGTTTATTTGATTTTTAACTTTCGAAACATGTAAAAAAATTCAGAATTTGGTTTTCGAAATAAATTCTTAAATTCGGAAGTTAAGTTCCGAATCCAAATTCATAACTTGATTTTTTAATAGAATTAATAATTTCGACAGTTGATATCCGAAAAAAGTAACATGTTTCGGCACTGATTTACAGAATTAAAATCCTCAAAAAAAAAAAATTATGCACAAAAAACTTACATTTTCATAACTGCTTTTGTTATAACTAGGCATATTGTTATTTGAATTTGAATTTGAATTTCTATTGATTTGTAACTCTTCCATCACAAAAATCAAGAATTATGGTGGATTCTAATGACAAAACGATATAATCAATACAGTATTGTAGGGAAGGTGGTTTGGAAATACTCTTTGGATCCAATGGGACGCACGAGATCCTCAGCTGGTAGCCTGAAAAAGAATGAACACTCCGGTCGGGGGTGCCAGAATTAGCACTCCGACGGATAAGTCAGTGTATGCTTTCTAAATTGCGTGTGTCTTAAGTGAAGCGTACTAATTCTCACATACCTCTTTCTGGCTGATGTTCTTCTATTTATATCTTTTCTTTGTTGGGCCTCGGGGCTGGGCCCACTTTCAATTCACCGTATAACTATTTTCTCGGCTCCTTTTGTTGCAAACCGCTTTCCACTCGGTCCCTTACTCAACAGGCTATTTGGCCGAATAAAGTAGGATTTAAATGTATAAGATGGGGCCGAATGCGATGTATATATTTTGACTCTCCAGGTCCAATTATTCGGTCTCTTTACGTCTCCAATTATTTGGCCCCCACAATTGCCCCCCAAGCACTCCACTAACGACAGTTAACTGGAGTGCTTGGTTTCGAACTCGAAAAGTCAGAGTCGAAATTCGGCGGCTAACCTCATTCCAACGCGGATGTCACAGCACAAGCCTCTCGGTTATCATTTCAACTTCCCGCCCCTTCGTACGCTTCCATTTATTGTGATTTAAAATCTTGTCGTCTTTTCGAATACACATTTTTGGATGCCTAGAGTTTTTGGGCTGCCTTCCTACTCAACTCTGCAACTTCCATTCATCCTTTATTGTCCTCTCCGTCTCTTGTAAGTTCTTTTCCTCTCTGCTTTGAATCCCTTTTCCTGGTTTGCCTTTAGTTTAGTACACCCCTATAGGCTGACCGAAATGGCAAAGCATCTGAAAGACCTCCTCTCCGCAGACCGAATTTCTGGCCTTCGACACCATTTTTCTATTCCTGATGACGTCCGTCTATCGCTTGTGACAGACGGCACCCTCAATATGGAGAGGGTTGATGAAAGCACAATCGTCTTCCCTTTCTTATTAATTGCAGAGGGCGGAATCCGTTTCCCGTTTCACCCATTTCTTAGGGCTGTCCTTCGCCGTTGGGGTCTAATCCCTCCCAACCCAATGTCAACTTTTTTAGAATCGTAATGGGGATTATAGAGCTAAATCATCGCCTTAGGATTAACCTCGGCATACCTGCTATTCAGTATTGTTATGCCTTGGCTAAGTCTTCTAGTCGACATGGACGCTATTTCCTTAGGGCCAAGGACACCGACCATCAATTAGTGACTATGCTTTCCAGCTCAGGCAAGTGAGTTGATGATGTTATGGTCGTTGTCCGAGGTAACTGGGAATTCGGCGAAGGCGAGGATCGCCTTGATTCTATTCCTAGAAGGATGGGCGAACCAGGTGGCCGTATAGCTTCTTGCGTTTATTTTTCTTATATTTACAAAGCTTCATTTTTGAGATCTCATGGTTTTGCTTGTGCAGAAAACGATTTGAAGAAAGTCTTGACTTCAACCTACGACGCCGTTCTTTCATAAATTAAAGTCGCACTCAAATATTTCGGCCGTTCGAGTCTTCAAAAACAATGGAGGGCGGCCCACATTCTCCTTCGATACGAGCCGACATATACGACGTTTTCGGCGGCAGAAAATATCCCAATTTCGAGGGGTGAAGAGTTTCTTACGGCTCTTGTTTTGACAGACTTAAAAAACTTGCGGCAAGTTGGTTTCGAGGGGTCCGATTCGGAGTGGGCGGAAGTAGCTGAGGTCGCTGAGTCAGACCAGTCCAAAGCCGAAGTAGACGAGGCTTTGAAGTTGGCCTTTGAGGAAGCCGGCCTCAATTCAGCCAACCCTCCGTCCACTTCGGGCCGAGGGGACCTTCCGTTTGACGACATTTTTATCGGTTTATGTAATAACCCTCACCACTGATCACTGATAACACTACTGATTACTGTTAAACTGAGGCCAAATATGTTAATTGATTGACTGATTGAAAACTAAAGCCGAATTGATTGAGTATATTAGTTTAAATGCATATCTATCTGTTGACTGTTAAACTTATCTGTCCATGTTTTATGTTTTAAATTGCGAATTGAAGGCCTTGTTGGCGGCCGAATCTGAAATCGAGTGATGTTTTATGATCATTAGAATTTATATGATTTTATGGCATAATTATCTGAAATGTGATTTGGTTCGATTAAATTAGGATAAATAATGTTGAATTGCAAAGTTGGCCTTATTCACAATTTTGTCACTTAAGTGGCCCACTATCTAAACATTTTTGAGCTCACTACATTAGACACAACACATTTTCATCAGCCCATTTTGTAAACAACAGCTGACTATAGTGAGAGAAATAGGAGAAGTCTTGAGTTCATGAGTTGTAGTTTGGTGACTTGAAGATTTGGTAGAGAGATTTCATAATTGAGCCTCCTCACCTCTAATTCAAGACCTAAGGTAGTGTAATTATCCTCTTGTTTATGAATTGAGCTTGTTCTTGCATGATTCATGTCAAAATTAGTGGATTGAGTCTAGAATTAGCTTAATTTGTTGAATTGAAGCTCATTTCATGCATGCACGTTTACATTGTTGTATTTTGAGTTGATTTCATGGAAAATTATTACATGCATGTCCAAGTTCTAGCTAAGGTTCATGAAATCATCATGTTTTTGTAAGAATTGGCTCTTTAGAGCAATTATTTGAAGCTTGAAAGTTGTTTAAAGTCTTGCATGTTCAATTGAAGTTGTGTTCTTGAAATTTGGTTTGAAATTGAGTTGAATTGATCTTCCTTTGGGGCTTTGGTTTTACTATTGACCTTTGAAACATGTTGTTCTATGAGTTTACAAATGTTTTTCCAGCAAATTAGCCCAAGAGGATCGAAATTCATGTTTTAAAACTTGATTTTGAGCTTGAAGTTCAAATCTGGAAATTCCAGATTTTGGACTCACGCTTGAGCGAAATGTATGCCGTTCGAGCGTGAAAATCGTGCTCCCAGCATTTTGTTGTGTTTTGCATTCCACT